TCTCCGTAAAGAGCATGTCAGCTTTTGAGGCGCCTCAAAAGGGCTCTCCGTAAAGAGCATGCCAGCTTTTGAGGCGCCTCAAAAGGGCTCTCCGTAAAGAGCATGTCAGCTTTTGAGGCGCCTCAAAAGGGCTCTCCGTAAAGAGCATGTCAGCTTTTGAGGCGCCTCAAAAGGGCTCTCCGTAAAGAGCATGCCAGCTTTTGAGGCGCCTCAAAAGGGCTCTCCGTAAAGAGCATGTCAGCTTTTGAGGCGCCTCAAAAGGGCTCTCCGTAAAGAGCATGTCAGCTTTTGAGGCGCCTCAAAAGGGCTCTCCGTAAAGAGCATGCCAGCTTTTGAGGCGCCTCAAAAGGGCTCTCCGTAAAGAGCATGTCAGCTTTTGAGGCGCCTCAAAAGGGCTCTCCGTAAAGAGCATGTCAGCTTTTGAGGCGCCTCAAAAGGGCTCTCCGTAAAGAGCATGTCAGCTTTTGAGGCGCCTCAAAAGGGCTCTCCGTAAAGAGCATGTCAGCTTTTGAGGCGCCTCAAAAGGGCTCTCCGTAAAGAGCATGTCAGCTTTTGAGGCGCCTCAAAAGGGCTCTCCGTAAAGAGCATGCCAGCTTTTGAGGCGCCTCAAAAGGGCTCTCCGTAAAGAGCATGCCAGCTTTTGAGGCGCCTCAAAAGGGCTCTCCGTAAAGAGCATGTCAGCTTTTGAGGCGCCTCAAAAGGGCTCTCCGTAAAGAGCATGTCAGCTTTTGAGGCGCCTCAAAAGGGCTCTCCGTAAAGAGCATGTCAGCTTTTGAGGCGCCTCAAAAGGGCTCTCCGTAAAGAGCATGTCAGCTTTTGAGGCGCCTCAAAAGGGCTCTCCGTAAAGAGCATGTCAGCTTTTGAGGCGCCTCAAAAGGGCTCTCCGTAAAGAGCATGTCAGCTTTTGAGGCGCCTCAAAAGGGCTCTCCGTAAAGAGCATGTCAGCTTTTGAGGCGCCTCAAAAGGGCTCTCCGTAAAGAGCATGTCAGCTTTTGAGGCGCCTCAAAAGGGCTCTCCGTAAAGAGCATGCCAGCTTTTGAGGCGCCTCAAAAGGGCTCTCCGTAAAGAGCATGCCAGCTTTTGAGGCGCCTCAAAAGGGCTCTCCGTAAAGAGCATGTCAGCTTTTGAGGCGCCTCAAAAGGGCTCTCCGTAAAGAGCATGCCAGCTTTTGAGGCGCCTCAAAAGGGCTCTCCGTAAAGAGCATGTCAGCTTTTGAGGCGCCTCAAAAGGGCTCTCCGTAAAGAGCATGCCAGCTTTTGAGGCGCCTCAAAAGGGCTCTCCGTAAAGAGCATGTCAGCTTTTGAGGCGCCTCAAAAGGGCTCTCCGTAAAGAGCATGTCAGCTTTTGAGGCGCCTCAAAAGGGCTCTCCGTAAAGAGCATGTCAGCTTTTGAGGCGCCTCAAAAGGGCTCTCCGTAAAGAGCATGCCAGCTTTTGAGGCGCCTCAAAAGGGCTCTCCGTAAAGAGCATGTCAGCTTTTGAGGCGCCTCAAAAGGGCTCTCCGTAAAGAGCATGTCAGCTTTTGAGGCGCCTCAAAAGGGCTCTCCGTAAAGAGCATGTCAGCTTTTGAGGCGCCTCAAAAGGGCTCTCCGTAAAGAGCATGTCAGCTTTTGAGGCGCCTCAAAAGGGCTCTCCGTAAAGAGCATGTCAGCTTTTGAGGCGCCTCAAAAGGGCTCTCCGTAAAGAGCATGTCAGCTTTTGAGGCGCCTCAAAAGGGCTCTCCGTAGAGAGCATGTCAGCTTTTGAGGCGCCTCAAAAGGGCTCTCCGTAAAGAGCATGTCAGCTTTTGAGGCGCCTCAAAAGGGCTCTCCGTAAAGAGCATGTCAGCTTTAGAGGCGCCTCAAAAGGGCTCTCCGTAAAGAGCATGTCAGCTTTTGAGGCGCCTCAAAAGGGCTCTCCGTAAAGAGCATGCCAGCTTTTGAGGCGCCTCAAAAGGGCTCTCCGTAAAGAGCATCTCAGCTTTTGAGGCGCCTCAAAAGGGCTCTCCGTAAAGAGCATGTCAGCTTTTGAGGCGCCTCAAAAGGGCTCTCCGTAAAGAGCATGCCAGCTTTTGAGGCGCCTCAAAAGGGCTCTCCGTAAAGAGCATGTCAGCTTTTGAGGCGCCTCAAAAGGGCTCTCCGTAAAGAGCATGTCAGCTTTTGAGGCGCCTCAAAAGGGCTCTCCGTAAAGAGCATGCCAGCTTTTGAGGCGCCTCAAAAGGGCTCTCCGTAAAGAGCATGTCAGCTTTTGAGGCGCCTCAAAAGGGCTCTCCGTAAAGAGCATGTCAGCTTTTGAGGCGCCTCAAAAGGGCTCTCCGTAAAGAGCATGTCAGCTTTTGAGGCGCCTCAAAAGGGCTCTCCGTAAAGAGCATGTCAGCTTTTGAGGCGCCTCAAAAGGGCTCTCCGTAAAGAGCATGTCAGCTTTTGAGGCGCCTCAAAAGGGCTCTCCGTAAAGAGCATGTCAGCTTTTGAGGCGCCTCAAAAGGGCTCTCCGTAAAGAGCATGTCAGCTTTTGAGGCGCCTCAAAAGGGCTCTCCGTAAAGAGCATGTCAGCTTTTGAGGCGCCTCAAAAGGGCTCTCCGTAAAGAGCATGCCAGCTTTTGAGGCGCCTCAAAAGGGCTCTCCGTAAAGAGCATGTCAGCTTTTGAGGCGCCTCAAAAGGGCTCTCCGTAAAGAGCATGTCAGCTTTTGAGGCGCCTCAAAAGGGCTCTCCGTAAAGAGCATGCCAGCTTTTGAGGCGCCTCAAAAGGGCTCTCCGTAAAGAGCATGTCAGCTTTTGAGGCGCCTCAAAAGGGCTCTCCGTAAAGAGCATGTCAGCTTTTGAGGCGCCTCAAAAGGGCTCTCCGTAAAGAGCATGTCAGCTTTTGAGGCGCCTCAAAAGGGCTCTCCGTAAAGAGCATGTCAGCTTTTGAGGCGCCTCAAAAGGGCTCTCCGTAAAGAGCATGTCAGCTTTTGAGGCGCCTCAAAAGGGCTCTCCGTAAAGAGCATGTCAGCTTTTGAGGCGCCTCAAAAGGGCTCTCCGTAAAGAGCATGCCAGCTTTTGAGGCGCCTCAAAAGGGCTCTCCGTAAAGAGCATGTCAGCTTTTGAGGCGCCTCAAAAGGGCTCTCCGTAAAGAGCATGTCAGCTTTTGAGGCGCCTCAAAAGGGCTCTCCGTAAAGAGCATGTCAGCTTTTGAGGCGCCTCAAAAGGGCTCTCCGTAAAGAGCATGTCAGCTTTTGAGGCGCCTCAAAAGGGCTCTCCGTAAAGAGCATGTCAGCTTTTGAGGCGCCTCAAAAGGGCTCTCCGTAAAGAGCATGTCAGCTTTTGAGGCGCCTCAAAAGGGCTCTCCGTAAAGAGCATGTCAGCTTTTGAAGTGGTTCTAGGAGTGGTGAGAGGATGCTGAGGAGTGAGGAGGGGTGAGGCAGGGTAAGGAGGGGTGAGGAGGGGTGCATCGTTCACAGTTCATGTCCTGAGGGAACCATAACTTGATGGGATGGGCATGATGGGATGGGCGTGATGGGACGGGCATGATGGGATGGGCATGATGGGATGGGCATGATGGGATGGGCATGATGGGATGGGCATGATGGGATGGGCATGATGGGATGGGCATGATGGGATGGGCATGATGGGACGGGCATGATGGGACGGGCATGGATGCACTCACAGGTTGCTTGATGTTTTGTATCCATGCCTCCACTGAGAGGCGGTGGTGGTTCATGCGCATGTAGGCATCTGAATCTACGAAGAAGGCCCACTGGCAGCAGCATGACAGCTGCTCCTGCAGAAACGGAACCTGCAGGGGAGAAGCAGGAAAAGAAGTGATTGAGACAATGACACATGCAGGGATGCAGGCATACGGGCATGCAGGCATACGGGCATGAGGTCAATGAGGGAACATTCGGGCGATGCTGACAAAGGCTCTTGCGCACTGGTACAATACAAGGAATGTTCGGAAAAATACTTGAAATGGTTCGACCCGGGCCGAACCAGGTTCAGGCTCCTGCTCATTCCTAGCTCTGAAATTTATGTTCTTACCTTGAACCAACCAGATTCACTCACATTCACTGACACGGCTAGAATGGCGTGCCACACTCGCCTTATAGCAGGTCAGGAAGACACATGCCAACTCTCTGACTGCTGCCCTCACCTTGAACCACGAGGGGTGTCTATCCTGGGTGTATCTCGACCCATTTTCCACCACAAATCGATACCCATGCCGCCACGCGTATATCCTGAAGGAGGGAGATGAAGAGGGAAGGACGAGGTCTAAAGAATAAAGGTTTCTGGTGAGTTTGAACCAGGAACGGGTGTCTATCCTGGGTGTATCTTGACCCATTCTCCACCACGAATCGATACCCATGCCGCCGCGCGTATATCCTGGTGGAGAGAGATGGAAAGCAGCAAGTTATTCTGAACGAATAAGGGATTCTGGTCACTCATGCTGGTCGTATGATCAGACATTTCAGCGAGCTGCAGCTCGCTAGAATGTCTGATCATACGCCTGGTCTTAACGAATAAGGGATTCTGGTCTATGTTCCCATTGACGGCATGGTGGCGGCATGGGCGCACTCACACACACATACATTCATGCTGATGTGGTAACACATATGCATGCACACACTGTGCTGGTAGCTAACGTTGACAGCATGGTGGCGGCATGGGCGCACTCACACACACATACGTTCATGCTGATGTGGTAATACTCGCGATGACATTGCAAGGGGGCATCCTCACATGTTGACGCTGTAGCGCGCGCACACACACACATCATGACGTAACTTGTAATAACACATGCTCGCATGTGTCAACACCAGAACACATACACACACACCATTACAATATACATACGACACATTCAAAATAACCAAATTAATTGAGAAAAAAAAAACCCTTACACAGCATCACATCACCACACACATATTGCTGTTACTCAATCATACGCACATGTTGACAGCCAGAGCGACCCAAATGGGCATCTTCAGCTGATCCTCATTCCCATCCGCGCCCACCACCCTAGGCAGTGCACCGTAAAACCTCCGCCATGCCTCATTCATCCCCTTACTTCCCTCATCCTTCCCCTGCGCCTCATCCTTCCCTTCCCCCACGGTCTCTCCCACTCCTTCATTCAACCGCCTACCCCACCGTCCCCCATACCAACGCCACTCCCCATCCCGCGCCCTCCACCCCAACCTCCCCCCTGCCACCTCCCTCTCACTCCGTTCCCGCATCTTCCCTCTCCGCCCTACCTGTCCCGCACCCCCTGCCCCCGTCCCTACACCCTCCCCCCATCTCCGCTCCCCCCCTCTCCCTTTCCCCCATATCCCTTCTCCCCCCACCCTTTCCGCCTCCGCCCCCAGGTCCCGCAGGAGCCGCGCTACAGCCGCCTCCACTGGCTTTTGAGTCGCCCCCCCCCACCCCCTCCGCCTCCGCTGGCTTTTGAGTCGCCCCCCCAACCCCCTCCGCCTCCGCCCCCAGGTCCCGCAGGAGCCGCGCTACAGCCGCCTGCACAGCCAGCACCCCCTCAGGGTTGTAGCGCGAGTCGAGAGTGAGAATGCAGCCGGGCCGCTCCCACTTCGCTACAGGCAACCGAACCGAAGGGGAGAGGTTCCATAGCTGACTGATGTCCGACCAAGCCTGAGGTTCGGAAACGGAGGTTGGGCATAGAGGCGAGGAGAGGTATGGAGCTGTAGGCGCAGGGACCGAATTTCAATATTATGTTGTTCATGACTCGAAGAAACCGTTCGTGATCTCCCGTGGAATCGCAGCGGTTGTGCATATTCAATATATGTTTGTTGCCAGAAAATTTAATCATAACCGTCGATCGATCAGTGTAATTGTAACCTCCACCCATCTGATTTTCGTTACCCATTGTGCCTAGCTATAACTTTTCCGCTTGACGAGCGGGGTCGTACGAATCTGACTGACTGAAGAATGATTCAGTTTCAGCTGAAAATGTTGATTCGCTGCGAGCTGCTTCGCTTTGGTACAGCGAAGTTCTGACGGTTGCTCGAATATATTCTTGGTTCGAATATGAATCGCGAGCTGACTTGCGAGCTCGTGCGCACCAGTGTAAGGAGGTGGGTCCCATGTCCATCGTCGGTGCGCACCATCGCAAGCCGTTGGATCATTTTTCTGTTTGATCGCCAAGGTGGAACCTTCGTAATTGGTGGATCGTGATGGTTCAGTCGCCAAGGCGGTTCATCACCTGTCACAACTGAAGCAGGTTCGTGCAAAGTCGGAATTACTCGGCACAAGGAACGATGCAGTTGTCATGACCTGATGGCTGGAAGGTGTTGCTTTCGAGGTTCCATAGCGGCAAAAAAACAATATGGAACACACCTCAAATTTGTCTGACACCTCAATATGGAACACACCTCAAATGTGTCTGACACCTCAATATGGAACACACGAAGTACGAGCCATCACTAGGCTGTTCTGCAGCCATATCCACGCTCACAAAACTGTAGTAGTGGATTAGTAGGCTCAGGTGTGCTCACCTGGTTACGATTGACCCGCAGCATTGACCCGCAGCACCGAAACGAGAGGCACGAGTAGCTTATTGAAAATTCCACTCACTTGGTTAGTAGTGGCATTCAGGCATAGCACGAACACGAGAGGCACGAGAAGGCCGACCGCGCAGCCAACGATCCATGACCGTGATTCCACCACACTCGTGGCGCGGCCTTTCCGGCATTCAGGGGTCCCATAACCCGCTTTTTGCGGCGAATCTAAACCGTCCCATTGTCCCAGCAAAACCTCAAATTTCTTCCTCCAATCCAGAAGAATTTGCGAGATACTAAATATGGCCAGATCTTGATCCTGATGCCTATCTGGATTCCGATCCCAACGCCTGGAAGCCCGCGAGCCGTCTTTCTCCCGTCTGAAAAATGTTTCCGTTTCGACCGTGTTCGGTTCGCTCGCAACTCCAATCGCAGGATGAGTATCCGCTTCGACGTCCTTCCCTGACGGGACATCATGAAGCACACTCTGAGTCTCGACACATCCAGACTCCGGGGGACCTGACACGTCCGAGGCATCATGACCCGAGAATTCGTCGGTCTCGAATCCAGCCATAAACTCGCTGATTGTCGAACGAACTGATATAATATTTTTTTTAATCAGTCGTAAACTGGCTCGCGACGCGGTTCTCGCAAACGGCGCGAGATGCCGCGGAATCAGCGATGCGACGAAGGAGGAAATGCGTGCGCAGGTCCCTAGTCGCAAATAGGTTGTCGCCGATACGAAAATTATCCGAAACCCTGCCAAAAAATGGCCCGTCGGGGTACCTCCGAAGGCCGCAACGAAAATCACTACGCGAGCTAAGGTTGTGGAAATGATCTTTATTCAAACCCCCATACCGACTGACGGATGATACTGGTTGTGGTTCTTGGGCTGATACTTCAACGGCGTTTCTGAAGTGGGGAAGTCGATGAACTTCAGGCTTCAAGAGTCTTGGACAGACATCTGAGGATGTCGAGAGAGAGCTGAGCTGGTTTTTGAGGCGCTTCAAAAACCACCTTAGCGGCGTGTCTGAAGCGGGAATGTGGACAAACGTAGACATCCAAGGATGTCGAGAGAGATGAACCGTCAGATCATGGACCTTCGACATATTCGACGGTTAACCTCTCCGACGTCCGTCAACGTTCCACTTCAGGGAAATCACAGTCGTTGGGAGCGGTTGAAGAGGAGCCTGGCGGTTGGGAAGGAGCAACTGCTGCAAGAAATGACAGACTCCTGCAAGAAATGACTGACTGCTGCAAAAAATGACAGACTGCTGCAAGAAATGACTGACTGCTGCAAGAAATGACTGACTGCTGCAAGGAACAACAGCTGCAAGGTAACGACCGTTATAATACATTTCACTTGGTAGCGTCGGTAGCGCTCGGTAGCACTACCGTTTCGCTAGACGACGCTACCGAGTGAGTCAGCATGCCGACCGCGGGCATGCTGAGGCACGCAGTGCAATCTATCTACAGTGCAATGGTGGATCACATGTGGCATCTTCACGCATCAAACGCGATATACACACATTGCACGTAAACAATTGTGTGATAGGAAACCAAACTCAAAACACTTTCAAGTAATCAATACGTAATGGTTCAACTGCATAAGCACACCGCAAGAATTCCGCTATAACCACAGCATCATCTATGTTCACTGATGATTACCCGTAGAAATATAAAAGCGTCGGAATATACATGCGTGCGCGCGAACTCGCGCATTAGGCGTGCGATGAGGACCAATCCTTTCAAGCAAAGAGACTGATGATACAAGCCGCGACCCGCTCACTAACTAGCTCATCACGCAGAGCCCTGAGCCATCCTGTCAACCGCAAGACACGCTTCCCCGGGACACGGGTTCCCCCGGTACACGCCTTTTCAATCGTCTTAATCTCGATATTGGGACGTCTCAGAAGCCGCAAGCCACGCTTGTTCGGAACACGAGTTCCCCCGGGACACGTTTTTTCAATCGTCTGAAAGACTCGATTTGGGGGGGTCTCGGAAGCCGCAGGACACGCGCCCCCGAGACACGCTTCCCCCAGACACGGGTTCCCCAGCCACGATTCCCCGACGCTGTCCACTTTAGAAGGCTTATGTGAGAGCCCTCTCACTCCCGAGTCTATTATTAGGCCATGGCGCCACCCGCGCGGGCCGCCGTTCCCGACGCGACGGCCGCACGGCACCTAACGGTCGACGGCGACGTGGGATTGTCAGACGACGCGGCTCGGAGCCTCGCGCGCGGGTTCTTTCTGGGAGGCTTCCTGCTGCTCCCGTGGCTGTGGTTCGTTAACTGCTACTTCTTCTGGCCCGTGCTTCGTTATAACGCCGGCCACGACCCCCAGCTCCGGTCGTGTGAGTATCTGCGCAAGGCTTCGATATAGCGCCAGCAATCGCCTCTGATTTCTCTGTTTGGTTCTGCCGTCCGCCCACGCCGGATCCTTTCTATCCATAGTCACAATCTCCCCTGTTTTTCCAGACTGTTCATGAGGACACCCCATATCCACCCACCTTCCCTCCTTTTCCATCTTCTCGGCCCAAACTGTCTTCCCCTTCCCCACCTCCACCTTCTCAGACCACCCTGTTCTTTTCCCTTCCCCCTTTTTCACCAACCTCCTTCCTCTCTTCCCTCTCATTTCATCCCTCCTCCCCTTCACCCCCCTTTTTGCCGCACATGGATATGCCGGGGTTGACCGTTGGCAGCAGTGTTGCCAGATTTCCCCCTTCTCCCACTTTCTGCCCTTCCTCTTCTTCCTCTGAAATTCTTCCCTGTGTCCCCGTTCCTCCCCCTCTTCCTCTCATTTTTCCCATCTCCCCCCTCTCTGTTTCCCCCCCGTTTCTCTCGCTCTCTGAATATCTTCCCCCAATTTCACCCTCCTCTCCCTGTCCACCTTCCATTCGCTTTCACAGACGTGGTGGGATCAGCCATTGGCTGCATGTGGCCTTCTCCCTCCCTGCCTTTCCTCTCTCTGAACCTTCTTCCCACCCTCCCGTTCTTCCCTGTTTCCGCTCCCTCCCGCATTCACAGACGTGGTGGGATCAGCCATTGGCTGCAGTGTCGCCTTCTCCCACTTGCCTCTTCCCCTGATTTTCCTCTCAACCAACCCAATCTGCCTCTCCTCCCTTTTTCCCCTCTGCCTTTCATTTCAGACGTGGTGGGATCGGCAATTGGCTGCAGTGTTGCCTTCTCCCTCCTTGCCTGCTGGTCGCTAGCATACTCTCTAGGAGGGGAGGCCCTACTAGGGGCTGACACGTGGCAGAAGCTAGCAGTGTACAATATAGTGGATGGTATTTTGTAGTCTTACGGTGACTCACTCTCAATGTCAATGTCCCTTCCCTTGCCTGCTGGTCGCTAGCATACTCTCTTGGAAGAGAGGCCCTATTAGAAGCTGACATGTGGCAGAAGCTAGCAGTGTACAATATTGTACTGTATATGGTATTTGGTAGCGTTTCTTACCGTAATCCCCCGGATAAAAGACCCCCCCATAATAATGTTCCCGGGTCTTTAATACGGGGGGGGGGGGGGGGGGGGGGGGGGGGGGGTGGGAATATATTACCGTATTCAAGACTGTTTTCCTTATACCCCCCATTTGGGGTGAAATCATTATAAGACCCCCCCCCAACCTCAAAAGTGTTTTTTAGATGTTAATTCATGTCAATTAAGCAAGCAGTGGCACTGGCACATGGTAGGCCACAGGAGTCACAAAATACAATCAAGGCAGCCTCTCAACACCCAGCTAGCTCCACTCTTCACCCATCACCTTGGAATCCGCCCCTGCCTTGCTACTCATCTTCGTCACCCGCCACCCACTCATCTGTTGGGAACAAACAATCACTCTACCCAGAGTTTAACCCTACCAAAGATCCTAAGGGGCACTCAGCCCAACATCATCTACCTCAGCCCCCTCATAGCAACCAGGGGCCCACCATTCATCCCCTTCGTCGCTCCACTCGTCAGCTTCGTTCGCGTTTCCATCGTCGGACTCGCTTGAGTCTGACTTAGCAGGTACTGCCTCCTCATCGGCCTCCTCTGCTTCAGCGGCCAGCACGGCCTCCTCCTCCATCTCGACGGTCACGTAGGGAGGGGTGACCACGAGGGCCGGGTAGAACGGGTTGGGGACCAGTTCATCCTGCTCCTCCTCCATCACGTCTTCCAACACCTCCACCTCGTCGGAATCCCGCATGTGCGCCAAGATCAGATGATCCTGGCTCCCGTCCTCTGCGTTCAAGATGCCGCAGGTGAGGAATGCTTTCCTCGCCATCTCCTCGGGAACGTCGGTGTCAATCGGCCCGCGCCAATCGGCCCGAGGGTGTCGGTGCTTCATGTACTGCCGCGACCACTTCTGAAGCATGCTCACAGAGACGGCCAGACCCTTGGCACGGTGCGCCAAAAACTGACGGTAGACGGCCCGCTCCATGAAATGCCACTTGGCCTTACGGCCTGCGCCAACGAGGTGACGACGACACGCTGTAGAAACAAGGAGTCGCTCCTTCAATTTCCGCCATTCGCGAATCTGCTTCGGTTGCACGTTAGCTAGCCGCGCCAACCCCCGGATGCTGAGATCGGGCTGCGTGTCTAGCATATCCAGCCAGTACAGCTTCTCCCTCGCCGTGTACGCATGCCGCGCCTTCTTCGTCATACGGTGGCGAGGTGAGGCGGGGGGCGCTGCATCCTGTACCTTCTTCTCTTGCCTTGCGGACGTGACGACTGCGGAAATACAGGGACACAGACTGTGGGAAGGGGGGCCCGTGGGGTACGGCTGCTCTGAGAAGTCTCACTCGAAGACGGTATTGTTAGAGGTCCACTGGTGATCCCCGATTGATCCTAGGGAAGGGTTACAGGCTCGTTGTCCTGGGGGGTTTGTCAAACATATGTTTATATGTTGTAGTTTAGATAGGCTTTAGTGGGGTACTCACTGTGGGGTACAACCCCTTAGGTTTCATTTTTGTACCAACACTCTCGACATTCAATACCAACTTTGCCTAGGATTCTAACATGGCATCTAGAGCATAGGTCCTTAGGACCTAGGATTAGGGCCCACCGTGTTAGAAACGAGAAGTTTGAAATGAGAAAGAGAGAAAGAGAGGGTTTTCACTAGCAAGCAGTTGAGTACATATAGCAAACCCTAAATTGGGCTGTACTCACTATTGAGTACCCCACTGCAGGCTAGACAAAACATAACATTCTGACACACCCCCATAGCCAAAGTGGGGTGTAATCAGCACAACAAGCAAAGCAAAACAAGCTCAGGGTGGATCACAAAGTCACCACACATTCTGAGCACAAGTACAAGAAGTAGCAGTTTATAGTTCACAAATATAAGCAAAGCTAGAGGCAGTCACAGATGGTAAGTGAGGAGGAGGAGGGACTGTGAGAGGAGAAGAGATAGGAGACGACATGTGAAGCTGCAGACACACGGGCAACAGGAGCGGCGCGCACTGTGGCTACCGGAGATTGTAGCCTCCGGACTACTGGAGTAACTGGCTCCGCGACTAACTCTGAGCTGCAGGAGCAACGGACCCACGGGCGACTGGCGCAGCAGGCTCGCTGGGCTACCGGAGATTGTAGCCTCCGGACTACTGGCGCTGCTGGCGACACGACAGCTGCCTCCGCCCAACATCCTCTAACTGTCTCACCCCCCTTTCACACACCCCCTGCTGCACCTCTAGCACTACTCATACTCCACCCCCTAGCACCACTCCATCGGCTCCCACACACCCACCCCCCTCAGCGGCAGCTGCAGCAGTGGGAGACGGAGGAGGAGGAGGAGTAGGGGAGACCACTTACATCCGGCACCCCCACACTCGCCACCCCCAAACCCCAACACAGGGCAGGGCAGCAGCAGGGGCGGCAGCTGGGCAGGGCCGCGACGGGGCCGAGGCAGAGCCGGGACAGGGTCGGGGCCAGGGCAGGTCCGGGACGGGGCCGCGACGGGGCCGGGGCAGGTCCGGGACGGGGCAGGGCCGGGACGACGACGGGAGGGGCCGACGCGCGGCCCCCCTCCAGTCGCGGCCCCCCCCAGGGCGCCGCGACGGGCGACGGGAATCGGCGCCGCGACGGGCGACGAAGGGGGGGGGGGGGGGCGCGCGGGCCCCCGTTGGCGCCGCGACGGACGACGAAGGGGGGGGGGGCGCGCGGGCCCCTGTTGGCGCCGCGACGGGCGACGAAGGGGGGGGGGGGGGGGGGGCGCGCACGAGCCCCCCCGGGCGACGAAACCGCCGTGCGCCCCGGGGCGCGCGACGGGCAGAGAACCGTCGCGCGCCGCGGGGCGCACGACGGGCAGAGCAGGGCGTCGCGCTGCCCAGAGGGCGGCGCGACGGGCAGAAAACCGCCGCGCGCTAGGGGCGCGCGGCGGGAAGAAAAAAGGCCGCGCGCCATGGGCGCGCGGCAGGCAGGAAGATAGCGCGCGCCCGAGGCGCGCGATAGGTAGGATAGCAGCGGAAGATAATGGTGGGCCCATGCACAGGATCGACCCGTGAGGGTCGACCTGCTTTGATTCCATGTTAGAAACGAGAAGTTTGAAATGAGAAAGAGAGAAAGAGAGGGTTTTCACTAGCAAGCAGTTGAGTACATATAGCAAACCCTAAATTGGGCTGTACTCACTATTGAGTACCCCACTGCAGGCTAGACAAAACATAACATTCTGACACACCGTACCTGCCTGCCTTGTCTAGTGCCCGCGCGCGCCTCGGCTTCCCGCGCACGCCTCGGGCGGTCCTTTATTTTTTTCCCCACGTGCGCCGCTTCAGCAGCCCGCGCAGCCCGTTTCGGCCCCGCCTGTGCGCCCCTTAAGCCGCCCGCGCGCAACCTGGTTAGGCCACGCCAGTGCGGCCCGTCGCCCAGCGCAGCCCGCAGCTTAGCGACCAGCCCGCAGCCGCGCACGTGCGGCCCGTCGCCCAGCGCAGCCCGCAGCCGCACGCAGCTTGCAGCCGCGCACGCTGCCTGTCGCCACGCGCAGCCCGCAGCTGCAAGCAGCCCGCAGCCCGCAGCCCGCGCAGCCCGTCGCCGCACGCAGCCTGCGGTCGCGCGCGCTGCCTGTAGCCACGCGCAGCCTGCAGCTTCGCGCAGCAAGTCGCCACACGCAGCCAGCAGCCGCCCTCAAACCGCTCCTGCCTGCTGCCTGCTGCCGCCTGCCTGCTGCTTGCTGCCTGCTGCCACCTGCCTGCTGCCTGCCTGCTGCCTGCCTGCCTGCTTGCTGCCTGACAAAATTAGAAGGTAGAGAAGTTTAGAATGAAGAAGAAGAGGGGGTTCACTAGAAAGCAGCAGGATACATATAGGAAACCCTAAGGGGTTGTACTCGCTATAGAGTACCCCACTGCAGGCTAGAGAACAATGACATTCTGACACACCCCCATAGCCAAAGTGGGGTGTAATCAGCAAAGCAAGCAAAGCAGAACAAGCTCAGGGTGGAACACAATGTCACCACACATTCTGAGCACAAGTACAAGAAGCAATAGTTTAAAGTTCACAATTATGAGCAAAGCTAGAGGCTATCGCAGAGGGCAAGTGAGGAGGAGGAGGCGAGAGTGAGAGGAGAGGAGATAGGAGGCGACGGCTGAAGCTGCAGACACACGGGCAACAGGAGTCACACTGGCACAGCGGCTACCGGAACAACGCTCCGGACTACAGGAGTAACTGGCGACACGACGGCAACCTCAGTTCAACCTCCCCAAACAGTCCCACTCCCCCTGACACACACCCCCTGCGGCGTCGGGGCCGGGTGGAGCGGCGTCGGGGCCAGTAGAGGCGGCGCCGGGGCCGGGAAGCGCAGCTCCGGGGCCGGGAAGGGCAGCTCCGGGGCCGCAGGGGTAGGCGACGGGGCCAGCAGAGGCGGCGCCGAGGCCGGGAAGGGCGGCGCCGGGGCCGCAGGGGTAGGCGACGGGGCCGCGAGGACGGCTAGGAGGGGGGGGGGTCGCGAGGGCGGCTTGAAGAGGCCGCGAGGGCGGCTAGAAAGGGCCGCGAGGGCGGCGTGAAAGGGCCGCGAGGCGGCGCGACACGAAGGAGCCGCGAGGGCGGCGGATCGGGGCCGCGAGGGCAGCGCGACGCGGTCGCTAGGGCGGCACGACGTGCAGGGGCCGCGAGGGCGGCGCGACGCGGCCGCTAGGGCGGCGCGACGTGCAGGGGCCGCGAGGGCGACGCGACGGGGCCGCAGGCGCGACGCGACGGGGCCGCTAAGGCGGCGCGACAGGGTCGAGAGAGGGGAGCGCGACTCGGGCAGTGTAGAGCGCGCTCCGGGCAGGAAAAAAAAAGGTGGTGGGCCCTAGGAACAGTTCCCACAGGGGAACCTGCTCGATACCA